CTCCAAAAAGCTTTGGTTATGTATGTAATACCAATTGATATTTACTATTTTAGAAATTAAAACTGAGAATCTTAAGTGTTTATTAATTAATTTTAAAATAACAATGATAAACTCATTACATTAACATAATTTTTTTGCAAAATAACTATACTTACAAAATTTAAAAAATTTAGTGAGAAGAATGCTCTTTCATATTTGTGCAAATTTATTTAATGTCTGGCTTAATGGAAGGCAGCTAGATTCAATCTGTTGTGATATCATATGGCATATAATAGTATCTGGAAAATTCCACTGTACACTTATGAGAGAATGTGAAAAAGGCAAGTAATGTCTTATTATTATGAAAATAGTTCTAACCTCATGGGCCCCCCTAATAGTCTTAGGCACACCCAGGAGTCCCTGGACCATGCTTTAAGAACCCCTGATTTAGATTATCGTTATAAAGTCTACAGAGCATCCTAGTATGTGAATATTTCATATGTTTGGCATTTACTTATTTGTGGCTGGAGTTATTTTAGTTTCTTTGAAAGTAACCTTTTGTTTATTTTTATCCTTTGGAAGCTTGAAGAATTTTATGTTCTGGAAGTTTAAAATCTTTACTAACAAAATACATCAAAGTATTTTTATCTCATCAATTTTCCTGGAAAATGGTGTGCTTGTTAAAGTATAATCTCTGATTCTATTTCATATCTTAAGAGTTTCTTCTATTTTTTCTTTTGGTTATTGCTTCTCACCTTTTCACTTTGTGTTTTGAGAGCTCTTATTCACAGCAAAGACCTCTGTTATATGCCTGCTGCCCTCATCTACATTTTATTTATCTTTTTGTTAAATTCTTCTGAATTCTATAAATGTGTCTTTATTTATCCTCTATGCTGCTGACTCAGTTGTCTAGTCTATCATGTCTTTTTATTGCTTCAAAGTGAGATTATTTTGGCTACTGTTTTGATTGTAAACAAGGGGTTCTTATTTAATAAATAAAATATTTTCTTTTCTAATTTAGAATAATGTGAGTTTTCTAAAATTTTTAGTTTTCTTTAATGTTTCAGCAAACTCACATTTATGTTTCATTTTTCTAATGTCATAGAATATTTTCATAGGTTTTAGGTTTTGGGTTGTTTTGGTTTTAAGTTTTTTGTTTGTCTCTTTGTACAATATTTGCTGATATTTATTATTGCTGCCTAGGAGTCCTGAGATGCTAGAGCTAAAACTCACCCTCAATATTTTGTTCAAATACAGGTAAAACCCAATTGGACCTACAGCTAATTGGCAGGCAGGATAAAAGTGCTACTCCCAACATCCTTCCCCTCCCCTCTGTATTCTGGGTGGTAAGAGGTAGCCCACACCAGAGTCTAGAGCCTGAAGGCTTCCCAGTCCTATGAATGAACATAAAGAAATTCATTGGTGCTGGGGTAAAGTTCTATGAGAGTAGAGCAGAAGCCTTCTATGCTCTTCAGTGAACAAGGAGGATGGGACCTGGAAAATAAAAGCAAAAGGAAGAGCAGGCACTGGAGTTCTTGTCAGCTGACTGGACAGAGAACATCAGGGAACAAACTGCAACGTGCTCAGGCATATCTTTTGTCGTTGCTGCTAAAGATTCGGTTGTTTTCAGATGGCATTTTAAGGGGAATGTGGAGAAGCAGTGGTTGGTGTTGAAAACACTCTACTTTCCAGAATGACCTGTTTTAGTGATCTCAGAAGATCAGAAAAGGTTAGCCACCTACATCCATTTACTTATTAATTTCCTGTGGGAATGGTGCATACAAAGTTGGTGGGGTTTTTTCATTCATATCATAGGGAATCTTTAATTTTCAGTAACAGTTTAATCTTTTTTTAACATCCTTTCTTAGAAAAAAAAAATTTCACAACCAAAAAGGAAGATTCTTAATATCATCATCATAAATAGCTACTGTATTAGTTTCCTATTGCTGCTGTAACAAATTACCACAAACTTAAGAGGCTTAAAATAACACACATGTATTATCTTCCAGTTTAAGATGTCAGAAATCTAAAATAGCCCAGCAGAACTGTGTTCTTTCTGGAGGTCCTAAAGGAGAATCTGTTTCCTTGTCTTTTCCACCCTCTAGAGGCTGCCTACATTCCTTGTCTGGTGACCTCTTGCTCCATCTTCAAAGCCAGCAGCATAGTATCTTCTCTCTCCTCTAACCTCCTGCCTCCCTCTTATAAGGATGCTTGTGATAAACAGGGCCCACCCAGATATTCCATGATAATCTACCATCTCAGAATCCTTCATTTAATTACATCTACAAAGGCCCTTTTGAATGTAAGGTAACATATTGACAGGTTCTGGGGATTAGGACGTGAACATCTTTGGAGGCGATTATTCTGCCTACCAGTTACCATTTATGAAATATGTTCTATGTGACAGGCGCTATACCAGAAGCATGTCATGGTATTTCATTATTCCTTGAAACAACTATGTGGTTGTTTTACCATGAGAAAATGGAAGCTGGGAGGAGTTCAGAAGACCACTCTCTTAAACTCCAGGCCAGTCTATCCAACTGTCTTCTTGACATCTCCACGTGAATGTCTAATAGGCCTCTCAAACTTAACATGTCCAAAACTGAGCTCTCATGATTCCTCCAGAAAACCTGCTCTACCAGCAGAAATCTCCACCTTAGTAACTGTACCATGTTTCCAGCTGTCCAGGACTTTAGAATCATCCTTGACTCTCCTCTTTCTCTCATATCTCATATCTGATCTGTCACAAAACTCTGATGGCTCTACCTTCAAAATATATCCAGAATCTCACAACATCTCACCATTTACATTACTACCTGCTCAAGTCCAAGTCCCCATCTTCTCTTGCTTGGATTTTTGTGGCAGCCTTCTAGCCAGTCTTCCTATTTCTGCCCTTGTCTACCATTAGTATATTTTCAATAGTTAGAGTGATCTTGTAAAAAACACAAGTGAGAGCACGTTACTTCTCTGCTCAAAACCCTCCAATGCCTTTCTACACCATTCAGAAGAAAAGCTAAAGTTCTTTCTATAACCTTCAAGACCCTACAGGATGCGATTTCATCCCTTACTACTTTTCTCCTACTCACTTCACTCCAGCTACATTGAACTTCTTGCTGTTCTTTGAACATTGCAAGTATGCCCCTGCCTCAGAGCTTTGCACTTGCTATTTTGTCTACGTGGAATATACTCCTTCAGATATTGGCATAACAAGCTCCCTTACCTCCTTCAGATCTTTATTCAGATACCATATTGTAGAGAAGCCTTTTCTAGCTTCCCTACCTAAAATATTAACCTATCTCCCTCCTTAACATTTTATATCCCCCTTTTCTGCTTTATGTTTTCTCTTTAGCACTTATCTCCACCTAACCTACTATATACACTACTTATCTCATAGGTAGGCATATGTGTGTATATGTGGTTTTGGTAGTCTCCAAAGTGACCCCCAGTGAGTCTGGCCTCTTGGTCTTCAAGCCTCCTCCCACAGGAAGGACCTCTGTAACCAATTGGATAGTTCAGAAAAGATGGCGTGTGACCCCAAAGACATGTCATAAAAGACATTGTGGCTTTTGCTTTGCTCTCTCTTGGGTCATTCACTCTAGAGGAAGCCAGCTGTCACGTTGTAAAGATACTCAAGCAGCTCTACGGAGAGATCCATGTAGAAAGGAAAAGATGCCTCCTGCCAACAATTAGCACCAAATAGCCATTCATGGGAGTAAGCTGTCTTGGAAGTAGATCCTTCAGCCCCTGTCAAGCCTTCTGATAACTATAGGTCCAGCTGATCCTTTGACTGAAATCTCATGAGAAACTCTGAGCTAGAACTCAAATAATCTTCTTCCAAATTCCTGACCCACAGACAGTTGGAAAGAAAAAAACACTGCCAATTAAACCATGACTCATAATGAACGTAAGAAGCATCTCAATTTCAAACATGTGGGGAAAAAATTGCATTTTTGAATTGATGAAATATGACAATGATGATTATTGTTGTGATTGTTGTTTTCTCCATATAATTTCTATGAGGGTAGGAATTTTTGTCAGTTCAGTTCATTACTATAGGCCTAATGCCTAGAACAGGGCCCAGCATATGAGAAAAAATTAATAGTTGCTGGACGAATGAATAAAACTTAACTTGCATAAGGCATATTGTTTATATGTGGTAAAGCTGGGATTCAAACCCAGATCTTTGATTCTAAAGCTTGTGCTCTTTTTATTATTGCCCCTTCTTCAGGATATAGTCTAATATCAAGATGCACATCTTATTTTTACTTAATCCTCCTCTCTTATTAAGATAGACATGAGAATAATGATATACAGCTAACAATTATGGAGTTATTACCATGTCTAGGACTGTTCTCAGCACATTGTATGTATTAATCTATCTAAACTTCACCACATGGTAGGTACTATTATTATCCACATTTATGAGGAAACTACGGTACAGAAAGGCAAAGTGACTGACCCAAGGTCTCTTAATAACAACACCTGTTTGGAGTAAATAGTTGTATATGTTCGTTCTTCTAACATTACCACAACTGAAAGTCTCTTTATATGTCATACAAGTACGTGGTAAATCCAGGTTCTCTAAATGTTGTCTAGTGTTGTTTATATTCCCAGCTGAAAAAGAACTTCCATTTTCAGCTAATATTTTAATACTTGGAAATGAAAAATTCAGTCATTTCTGTATTAAAACTTGAAAATCTTGCCTTAAAAATTCTGGCTACAATTCTTATTTATATTACAATTTCTAAATTTCTAATGTACCCTATGTGAACACCAATGTCTCTGAACAGTCAATTGACCTATAATAAAACCATAAATTAGATTAGTGCTTTACAAACACTTTCACTTAGGATGCCCTCACATATGATCTTCATGACAATGTTTGAAAAGCTCCCAGGGAGTGTATTCTCTCCATTTTACAGATGGCAAAACCAAGAGTCAAAGAAGTTAAAGAATCTTCTTAAGGCTACATGAGTAGTAGATGGTCAAGCCAGGATTTTTCTAAATCCTAGTGCAGTTCTTCACATTGATCTAGACAGTTGTTGGCAAGGTTTGTACTGACCTGAGGTAATTAAGTCAAGTGCAGCAGGAACTCCAATGAGTCTGGGGAGAAGCTGGGTTCCTCTTGCACCAGGAAGAATTCCTAAGGTGACTTCTGGGAAGCCAACTTGAGCCTATCAAAGATTAAATGAATAAAGCCCATTAGAATGAGATGACATGCTCAGAGTTAAAGGCAAGCACTCCCCTGGATTTCTTACACATTCAAAAATAGTGTTTTATTGAATTCAGCAAGATTTCTTTAGGGCAAATTGGAACACACCCTCTCCATTACTTAATAGCATAAACAGAGCTGTGCTGTTCTTAAGTCTTCATATTGGAACACATCTCTAGCTTATACCTTTTTTTTCTCTGACTCTATTATGGGCTGTCTCAGCCAACAAAAATAGTAATTTCTGGGAACAGCTTTCTGGAGCCCTGCAACAGCCAGGAAGCACAAGAAAGTGGAAAGACAACCCAGAGAATGAGAGAGAATATTTACAAATTATATATCTGATATTGGACTTATATCTAGAATATACTCATATAAAGAATTTTAAGAACTCAATAATAAAAAGACAAATAACCAATTAAAAATTGGCAAAGGATCTGAATAGACATTCCTCCAAAGAAGAAATACAATAATCACATAAAAAGATGCTCAATATCATTAGCCATCAGGAGTATGCAAATTGAAACCACGAGCTATCACTTTACATGCAGTAAAATGGCTATAATAAAAAAGACAGACAATAATAACAAGTGCTGGAGAGAATGTGGAGAATACAGAAGCCTCATACATTGCTGGTGGGAATATAAAATAGTGCATAAACTTTGGAAAACAATTTGGCAATTCCTAAAAGGTGAAACACAGAGTTATCACATTACCCATCAAGTCTATTCCCAGATATCTACCCAAGAGAAATGAAAACATATGCCCACAAAAATCTTGTATGCAGATTTTCACAGCATCGTTGTTCATATAAACCAAAAAAGTAATAATCAACCACGTTGTATATCGACAAAATAAAATTTAAAATAAATAAATAAATAAAAATATTTACTCAATTAAAAAAAAGAACAAAAAAGTAGAAACAACTCAAATGTCCATCAACTGATTGATGGATAAACAAAATGTGGTATATATCCATACAATGAAATGTTATTCAGCCATAGAAAGGAATAATGAACTGATTCATCCTACAACATGGATGAACCTTGAAAACATTATGCTAAGCAAAAGAAACCAGTCACAAAAGACCACATATTGTATGATTCCATTTATATAAAATAACCAGAATAGGCAAATCTATACAGACAGGAAGTAGATTAGTGGCTGCCTAGGACTGGGGCGGGAATGGAAGGTTACTGCTAAAGGATACAAAGTTTTTTTTGCGGGGGGATGAAATGTTCTAAAATCTACTGTGATAATGTTTGCCCAACTCTGTCAATATACTCATGTGCCATTGAATTGTACACTTTAAATGGATAAATTGTATGTATGTGAATCATATCTCAATAAAGCTGTTTTAAAAAAAGGAGTCAGGCAGCAATCTCAATTCAGACAAGAGGGTGAGGTTGAGACCTTTAGAAGTGTCCAAAACGCTGTTAGCCATTTACAGGTACAAGGGTGGGAGAAGGAGGGTACTCAAATGCAGACTACCATTTACCCAGATTGTGATGCCAACAGCTCCAAAACATCTCACACATTTGAGGCCTCTCCACGCAAGGCTTTTCTTTTTTTTTTTTTTTTTTTTTTTCTTTTTTTGAGCA